AAAAAACAATAACAGTTGACTGCTAATAACTACAAGTTTGTGAAAGCTTAAATTCGTACCTCAGTGTTATCCACCACAAGAAACAATTCCACATATCTTCGAGTGTGAAAACTCTTTGTTTTCTAAGAGAATATATCAATGATTTAAAATCTATGCATAATTTCTATTCATATGCAGAACAGTTGCTAGAATTGCGAAACAAATGTTATTACCCATCTGGTGGACTTTAAGGGGACAGCCACTGGTTGTTCATGGTCATAAATGGTAGTGCTTGGTTCACCACATGAGCTTCTCTTCCACCTCAGATGTTCATGCTTATAAAGTGCATGGTCTCCATCACTATGGTTGGTCAGGGGCTCAATCAGGTATACTTGCTGTTTCACTCGAACAAAACCTCTATGGACAGATAACATAATGCTGCTTCTCAAGATCCTTCCTACAAACATGGAATCTAATACTTGTGCATTTCCATTAGAACATGTATGAAAAGCATCTTGTAATGAACTTGATGTAAAAGTAGCATGCCATTGTCTCAAACCTGATTCCAGAACAGATTCCCACACTGACTGAGGAATCTTCCAAATCCTGAATATGGCCATGATAGTAGCAATTGTCCTACAAATGACACACAATTGATTGATTTTTTATTTTCTGTGCTTAACTGATCATATTATTTCCAGCTTAAATAGGGGAACTTCAGTCAGTCTGCCATGACTTAAAGGGGTCCTATTATGCTCTTTTACAAAGTCTTGATTTTGTTTTGGGGGTGTACTAGAACATGCTCTCCATGCTTGGTGGTTCGAAAAACGCATTATTTTTCACATAATTTACATTATTAAAATACCTTTCTCCCCATCCTGGCACAAACGGCTCGATTAGTTTCCGGCTTTGATGAAGGTCCGCCTTCCGAAAAACAAAATGTGTTGTGATTGGTTAGCTGTCTCAGTGTGTTGTGATTGGCGAACAGCTTAGACGGTGTTTCAGTACTGCCACCCCCCTTGCTCCGTCTTTCAACAAAAGCTTTTTGGCGAATCCGGCACTGTACTCCCTCATGTTGTGGAAGCTGTCCTCAGTAAAATGCGCAGCACACCATAGCAAATTGGGGTTATAATGCTCAGGAACAGAGTTAAAAAATAAATTGCAACCACTGTTTCCTGACATCATCCGCTTTCGGAAGCC